TTACTGGCTACTAGTTGCATGGATTTCACAGTAATTTAATGTAAATATTTCACAGTAATTGACTGTAAATATTTCAAAGTAATTTACTGTAGATATTTTACAGTAAATTAGAATAAAAGTACAACTAAATACTGTGACTTTACAGTTGCCATGCCCATGGAATTACTGTGATATAGCAGTACAGAGCTGTGGTATTATGGTACCTTGCTGTACATAAATTACAGTAACTACCTGTATGTAACTACCTTTATGTTCACACTATTACTGTAGAAGTAATGCAACACAGTAGCCAGTAATTTACTGTAAATATACAAATCTAAATAATGCGATAATATATTGTAAATTTGACTGGGATTTACCATAACTACACAATTCAATCAGCTCAAACAACATAGAAAAACAAAGAAAATGCCCATTTTAACTTTTTATTACTCCATTGAAGTGCAAAGTACATTTCACAGTGTCTTGGAAATGTTGTTACGGCCCCAACCTCTACTCCGCGGTAGTGGCTCGTGCTGAGACCCGCAACATGAAAGAATACACGCAATAACCGGTACTTGGTAACGAGCATTTATTGATAATCAGCCGTTTGCTCACACAAGCGAAATGGGAAACAAAAAGAGGTCTGGGGGACTGGCCAAAAGGAACAAACAGAAGGACGGAACCCGAGCCAGCCACACCACGGACCGTAGGACCCAGAGCTCCCCTCCCCCCCCTAACCAGAAATAAAATATAAACCCTATTGGAAACAAAATAAAGCCGCGAAAACTGGACCACCAGGTCCTCCAGGCTAAACATAAACACATCTGCAAAAATATGGCCTACAGCTCAAAATGGCACAGAGGTATTCTAAGGACAGTGTCTCCGGCGTCAGGATAGGCGAGACATCCTTCTCCTCCAGCTTCTATATACACACGGCTGAGTGGAATTTGGAACACCTGGGCAGAGGCGGAGCCAGGGGCAGACCAGGTGCACATGGGCAGAGGCGGAGCCAGGGAGACAGAAAAGAAAACAAGGAGGGGAGCACTGACTTAACACATGTCTACACAGACATCCACTCAAAGTCAACCATTTTTCTGGAGAATGTGCTGACAAGGGGGTTTAAATTGCCATGCCTCTTTTTGGCTTTCGAGCCCGTCTCAGGATTAATGCCCAGGAAGCACCTGAAAACACTAAGCCACGACAACAATTTCAATTTTACATAGATTTATATGTTGCATCGTTTATTTTAAGGCATGCAGCGGTGCCCCTTTCAATTTAAGTACAACCTGCACCAAAGAAAGAAATTAATATTTAAAGCCAAGCAAGAGCGATAAAAGCAAGAAAATCACTTAATTTTTTGTGTTATCACAGAGGGTGGTCTGAATACAGTATTTTACTGTGAAATAATACAGTAACATGTTGTGAAATCCTGGTAATCATTGATCCTGTACATTCACAGTAATTAACTGTGCCTGTATTGATTTCACTGTGAAATTCTAAACTACAGTGTTATATTGTGAACATTACAGGTAAAGACTGTAAAGTGGTAAAAGAGTAATTTATTGTAAAATATTACAGCTAAATATTGTAAAATCATGGTAATATTTTACAGTGTAGCTGTTAATGGTTTTATCTTTCTCAGAGAGTTTAAAGCTCTGATTGAAAAAAAATGTGTTTTACCAAAAAGTGTAATTTTTATTCTTCAATTGAAATTTGAATAATGTATTTCATGTCATATGTTCATGTTGTTTGTAACATGCTCTTTTTTTATTGGTCGTTTGTCTGATTTTCACATACTTTATTATATATTTTTGTAACTTTTGGAGAATTAATCACATTTTATATATATTTGGCATTGCAACTATACTCTCCTATTACATTGAGGTATACATCCAGCCCACCCCTTCTTTAAAACCTCTTAAGCCCCAAGCCTGTTTTTCAGGTTTCAGGCTTGAAAATGACATGCCCAAAACAAAGGACTATAACTTAACTTCTAAAAGGGTTATATGAATAATTTATTTTATCAAAGAAAGGTCACATCTGTGAGTTGGATGTAGAAGTGTCAATAAAGATGTTTCAGTGTCCGAATAAATCCAGATGGAACATAGTAAAAAAGTGTAAAGTCTTGTCTCCGCCCAAATAAAACCCATTACTTACAGTAAAAACCACCCTTGAATGATGGGCTAGTAGCCTAAAAGCTTTAGGAATCCAAAGTATAACATACAGTATAATAAGTACCCTGTATCAAGATTGAGGCAAAACAAGTGAGAATTTACCTTTTTAGAGAGATTTAGCAAAAAAAAGTCCAAGCGGACTAAGCTTTGGGCACATTTGGGTACATTTGGTTCCATCAGTGCCATTTAACCTTTTTCAGGTACCAGACTGTAAAAATCATTGTATAACATTTAATTATCACTATAGGTATTCATTAAAAAAAAAAAATAATAATAATTGTAAAAAATAAATAAAAAATGAAGTGTGTGTGTGTGTGTGTGTGACCTTTTTCAAGTACCAGACTGTAAAAATGTGTGTGTGGGAAGTTCCCTCTTTGCATGAGATGCATGTTACTTGCACAATAAAAATTAGGAAACTTAGGAAGCATTTGACTCCAACTGGAGCAGATTTATTTAAAAAAGAATTGGCAACACACTATACAACAAGCATATTTTGGGTACAAAAAAAAAACTTT